AAGGAGAAAAGTTCAGTCTGATGAACTTAACTCAGACTTGTTTATCAGAACTAAAGGCCTGTAAACCCTAAAGAATACCCTAAAGTTGTGACAGCAGTGAGAATGGATAGTGTTCATCGTGTGACGAGATTCTCCAGTATTCAGTTAAACTTGGTGAACTATAACCAGAACACAGGTATATCTAGGCATCCGCACAACAGCCCATATGCTAATAGAGACCGATCATTCGGTCCAGTCAACGACAGTATAACAAGCAATAACACTAAACCTATACCCGTCGTACAAGAAGTGGCTACCGAGGCATGGTGTTGTAGTCCATAACGCTCTGGCATTTGAAGCGATCGCTTCCGAGTCCGAATCTCGGTGGGAACAACATCACTCTGCACTGGGAGGCAGGTAAATCCAGCTGACGGGTCTCAAACAGATGGGAATACGCATCCTGAATTCCACTGCTAGCCACTATCATCTCTACTAAGCATAAATATTTAAGACTAATTTTCAGTACACTACTGAAGACAGATTTTACAGTATAAACTGGATTTCGCTGTGTTTTCATCAGCTGCTCACATGCTGGTAGATAATAATGGCTTATTGAAAGACGACAGTGTCAAATAACATCCACCAAAATTTCAACTCTTCAATTTATTAGAAGGTTGTTAGGAAACCTTAGGTACAGGACTGAAATGAAACCGTTCATTATTCAATGTGACACTTGACTAATGTAAGGGATACATGCCATGCAGTTGAACAGTATTATTGACTGGTTTACGTTTTGGACAATACTTACAGTCCACAGTTAAGGTTAGGATAAGTCCACAACATTCAAGCATGTTTTACCTAGACTATCTGAGCTCAAAAACTTAACTAAATCAAAATTTGTAGATTCCAGTAAGATAAGAAATGAAGAGATAACGTTTCGAGTAAAAATTTACCGTTCATATTCACATCAAAGTAATCATACAACTTTGAAACTTCCTTTATACAGTCCAACAGCTCATCTCATTCCTTTATCTTAAAGGTGTATATAGCGCATATTCACTTGGAGCATTTGCACAAAATTCATTCAGTTATGGATTCTACTGTAATAAGATATACTCTTTCGTTTGAAGGGCAGGGGGTCGAACTGGGGGATGTTTGACTATCCACGTAGATATCATTCGCAATTTAGAGAATGATGCCAAAAGTGTTTGCCATCTGGAAATTATTATTAATATTTATTTTAGTCTGTTCATTAGAAATATCATACAGTGAAACAGTAGCATTTACTCAATAACAATGTTTCGGACACAATTTATTGTACATATTCATATAAGGTAACTGACTCCACAACTTCGAGATAGACCTTATATATTCACAATTTTCTCTCCTTCTCTCTGATGACGAGGATAGTAGAAGTTTCCTTGTCATCAGAGAGAAGGAGAGGAAATTGTGAATATATAAAGTCTGTCTCGAAGTTGTGGAGTCAGTTACCTTATATGAATATGTACAATAAACTGTGTCCGAAACATTGTTATTGAGTAAATGCTACTGTTTCACTGTATGATATTTCTAATGAACAGACTAAAATGGAATTACACTCAACCACAGTGACCAAGTTTTACACTTATTTCAATGATAATGACTTTAGTATTGTTGCTTGTGTTATACCGTCATTGATTGGACCAAATTTATCCGTCTCTATTAGTATATGAGCTGCTGTGTGGATGCCTCGATATTACAGTAATGATGGATAGTGGCTAGCAGTGGAATACATATGGGAACGACATCACTCACACGGACGCAGGTACAACTAGCTGATAAGTTCCAAGTTGGACGAAATGAGCATTCTGGATTCCACTGCTAGACATTATCCATCATTATAATAATGACTTTATTCTGAAAGGTATTTCAGGAATACTCTATACAATTTTCAGTATGTCACATAGCATAAATTGGATAAAGACAGTCTATACATATACATAGGGAAATGAAATAACTAGAAATTACATCAAAAAAAGTAAATAGAATATTCACTCTACAAAACAGGCAGCGAAGACGGGACTTCTTTCATATGAACGTAGAGAAGACACAGGTGATGAAGATACCCAACCAACAACAGCAATATCAACAATCAACATCAGCGGGAGAAACCTAAAGGAAGTATGCCCAATCCATCTCCACTCTCTTCTGCATATTTGTTGGGTGATAGGTTCTTACTTCGTTGGTTCGTTACCAGGTCAGAGTGAGTTCCTTGTTGCTTATTCTTGTTGTTCTGGCCATCTGATCTGATCTTCAGTATCGAGTGAGCGTGGGTGGCAGCTGTTGATGAATGTCTATAGTTTGTTGGAAGTGCTTTTCGTGACACGCCAAGTTTCTGAACCATCACACAGAAGCACCGACTGAAATGGTGTTAAAAATCCGAATGTTGTTCACGCTTTGTGCTGAAAGAAGTAGATCTCCGCACTAATTTCGGATTGATCCTGGCTGGTTTTGACATTCTTGTCTTAGCCGCCACTTGTAGTTGAAACGATGCTGCCTAGGTAGGTTGGTTAGGTGGAAGAGGCAACTTTCTCTAGTTTTCTCCCACTAGTGGTGATTGGTGCTTGTTGTTGTTGGTTGCTGGTTGTTGGTTGGGTATCTTCATCACTTCTGTTTTCTCTACATTCGCTTGAAGTCTCCTCTTCGCTGCCATGCCCTGCCTCTTCTGTCAACTTGTTAGTTTTCGCCTGTAGATCTTCAAGTTTGTGCGACATTTGACATAAATGATTATGGGAGAAATCCAATTCGTGTAGGGTCTTTTCATCGGTCAAACAGCGCATACCCATCTTCTCACTCCTCACAGTTTGTTGCATGACCCAGTCCACCACAACCAGGAATATTATCACCGGTGGTGGTAGTGGGCAGTCTTGTCTTACTCCTGTCTTCACTTCAAAGGCGTCACTAGGCTTTCCATTGTGGATCACTTGGCATGTGGCATAATCATTTACGTGTTGAATGAGGTTGATAAAGATTTATAGCACTAAAACCGTAGTGTTGAAGCAACTGCCAAACTACTTGTCGGTTGACTCTGTCGAAGGCCATTTCAAAGTGGATGAAGTTGAGTTGACTGCCATGCTATAGTCTGTTCAATGTTGATGCGTAGTGTTGAAATTTGATCCAGACATGATTTGTTCTTCCTGAAGCCAGACTGTTCCGTTGGTAATTTTGAATCCAGTGCATCTTTTAGTCTCTCCAAGATGATGCGGCTTAGTATTTTACTTTGGGGTGAACAGGAGCATGATTCCTCGCCAGTTCTTGCAGACTTAGGTCTCCCTTCTTTGGGAGTTTGACAAGGTAGTCCTTCTTTCAATCTGCAGGTACCTTCCGAACCTTCTGCAGTAGTGGTGTGAGCATATCCGCTGTTGTCTCTGAGTCTATTTTCAGTGCTTGTGGAAGAATTCCATCTGTTCCTGATGCTTTCAAAGTCGATTAAGTGACCTGAAATTATAGTATGTGGAGCTGTGAGTGATATGTTTTCAAGTTTTTTCACTTCCACTGGATCTGTAAGCGGTTGACTGGATGTTCTTCACTGTACGTTTTTTATAAATTCTGATTTCATATGAAGTTTACCAGATGTATAGTAAGATGCTCTACAATGTGTTTTGATGTTCTGTAGAACACTCTGATGATACTGAATTTGTTGTGTGTTCTCCTAATTCCCTCATCTGACGTGTGTGACTGGTATGCGGTGACTATCGCTGAGGCCTATGTTGTAGGATCTTCTTCAGACATTTTAATTCCTTAACTCCTTCTATTTGCATCCGTTGTTTAGAGTATATTTTCTCTTTAAAAGACTGCGGGTAACAGAAACTTTAGCAATGATTATATGTGATCAGTTGAAATCTGAATGTTTGTTTGAATGCTTTGGTTTCCTGAAAATGGTTATAACTTAATGTTCATTTTCTTACCGTTTAATGAGACAATCAAGGAAACGTAGTTCCTCTTTATCCAATTCTTCTTCTGAGCTGAACTGGGAGATTTAGAGTTCGGTTGATCTAAGAATACCTCGCATAAGTCACATTTTACAACTACTAACCTGTCACCAATATAACGAAGCCAAATGTTTGGCTTTTTTTATGACAAACCTGTTTATGACAAACTTCAAAGAAAGTGTCTTCTAACACTTACTGAAGCCAAGAGTTTGATAACGATATGTTGTATTCACAATTTCTTTTGTTTAGTATCTGTGATTAAACCATGTACCGCGTTCTATGCCAAAAGACGCTATAATTCTGCACGAAATTTACTTCATTAATCCATATATGAATTGGTCAGTGTGAATCCAAAGTCTTCAGTTGTTCATTTTAGCTGTGTAGAAAAGTTTAGAGATTTCTTAGTTGAAGTTTATCAGGTAACCACAACTGTTGAGGTATTCCTGAGAATCGACGTCTTTGGTGTAGGTTTAAGTTATTGCTATTTTCATGAATTCCTATGACACGATGATATTACCGTCATTTCAGTGACATGCTTGATTTCGTGCGTAGAGAACTGTACCTACTAAGCGGTACTCTCAAGTTCACTGTTGATATAGTCTGTCGATAGACTAGAGATTAGATTTGAATGTGAAAGAAATTACTGTGTATTTTTCATTACTCATGGTTTTGTTAACTGCCTACTGAGTTCATTAATCTTACAAGAACCTTCCTACACAAATTCCATTCACAACTTCAACATATCGGTGGTGCAAAGGCTAAATTAAGATAGTATTTCATTTATTCTTTGAATGTTGACCTCAGCTGTTTACGAAAGCTTTAATATGCAAATAATGAATAAAATTAAAGAATGGCAACTTCAAGAATACAGACACATCCGTCTTTTATCTTTCTACATTGTAATCTAATATGCTGATATCGGTTGTGATGAGTTGCACAGTTATACAGAGATATCAGGTCCCACTATATGATATTGACTGACTAATTGACTAAGAACTAGACACTATCACTTTTTTTCTTATGTTCTCTACCTTCAATCGATCAATCAAGGTTCAATCATTTTTTCGTGGTTGGTTATGTCGTCGTCGATGGAAGCATATTGTTGAAGAGTATATTCGATCAGAACATGCAGAATCAATGCGAAAACGTAACAGTATTGTATTTGGTTTAGTAGAATGTGAAGATGAATATGTTCAACAATTATCTATACTCGTAACATGTTATCTAAGACCATTTCGTATGGCAGCAAGTTCTAAGAAACCAATTGTTAGTCATGAAGATGTCAATTCAATATTTTTAAATGCGTAAGTTCTACATAATGTATATCATTTATTTACGGGATTGATATAGATGATAAATGAAATGAAGTTTTAACTTTGAACAAGAATGCTTGATTCTTATCTTTCATATATGGTCACTGAAGTGATACCAGGAGAAATATTAAATGAGTAGTCCACCTCTGGTTCTCTCAGTCAAGAGATAGACATTGGAACTGTTGAATACATTGGTCAATCCACATATTCAGCTAGTTGAGTCAGACACAACTGTCTACTTATCCTCTTTTGCTCATCATTTAGTCTATCACATCTGTGTAATGCAGGACTATTCACCAAACGGTTGGACATTATCCACTACAGTCGTTGATTGGACCGAATTGATCGGTCTCTATTGGCACATGGGTTCCTGTGCGGATGCCTTGATATTGCCAGTGTTCTAATTATGTTAATGATGGATTGTGGCTAGTAGTGGAATTCAGGATGCGCATTTCGTCCTATTTGGGACTCATTGGTCAGTTGGATATACCTGCTTCCCAGTGAGTGATGTTGTTCCCGCTGGGATTCGGACTACGGAGCGATCGCTTCAAACGCCGATATCATAAAAAAACAGTTATACTAAAAACTATACCCGTCGCACAAGAAGTGGTTATCGTGGCTTGGTGGTGTTTGAAGCGATCGCCCCCGAGTCCGAGTCCTGACGGGGACAACATCACTCCGCACTGGGAGGCAGGTACATCCAGCTGATGAGTCCCAAATAGGCGAAGTGTGCATCCTGGATTCCACTGCTAGCCACCATCCATCATTAACAGTATCCACCACGGTTTACTATGTCTTAATAATTAGGTGATGAGAAATGGCTTTTAATGGCACGATAACTTTGAGTGATGTTCAGGTTAGATACAGACCTCTTAGTTAGTAAGATGAGTCGGTAGATCATACTGTTAACTTGTATCGGTTGAAACTTGTGTTACCAATGCTTACCAACCTTTCAAATCAGATGTCGTCTGGCATTTGAAGCCGTCAATCCTGGGTTGGAGTCACAGTAAGGACAAAATCGTTCACTAGAAGACAGGTGCACCCAGCTGATGAGGCCCAGATAGGACGAAATGTACATCCTAGATCCCACTGTTAACCACTATCTCTCATTACTATTCATTCGCAAATCACTTTTGCTTATTTATTCTGGTAAAATTCTATTGGTGTTCAGTTTGTGTTTGATTAGTGTTACTAAATGTTGGCGGTTGAATAAATCCACTTCGGTAAAATGTTCCACCATTCAAAGTCTGTCGAATAATCTATTCGTCCATCCTAACTGGAGTTTGAAACAAGCAAGAGGAACAATGGTGTAGCAGAATTCATATATGGGTATTTCATGGATTCGCCACCTCAGTTGCATCACAACCAATAAATACACTTGGAATTGGTGTGGCTCACAAACCAACAAATTCCCTCCAAACATTATTATGCAAACCAAAGGATACAACAACCAAAGAAGGCAAACCGAATATCATTTACAAAATCAACTCCAATAACTGTAGTCAACACTACACTGGACAAAGTGGTGACCCTCTTCGCCTTCGTCTACACGAACACCAATTGGCTATTAAATATCATACACGACATTTCGTCACTCATTTCAATGCACGTGGATAATTATGGACGCGGACTCAGTTTTGACAACGTAGAAATTTTGGACGAAGAGAGGAAACACAAATTATATCATCAGAGAATTCCTAGAAGCTTGGCATTCAGGCCAGTTAGTCAGCAACTAATCGATGTATAGACATAGACCCGAACTATCAACCAATAAGAAAAATGATAAACGATGGAAAGGTCAGAGGTCAAGTATAGGAACAGCCAACAGGAAAGTCCACCGGAGTGAAGGCACCCCTGTGGTTGCGCCACAGGATGAGACTGTATACCGTCCCGGTTTTAAAAAGCCTAGATGTGTATTCTTTTCTCTCCTGAAAAACCAATGTATAAATATCCGTTCGAATGACGGGTACTTATCATACTGTGAATAGGTCGTTGAAAAGAAATATTTCTTCGTTGATACATGCCTTGTTCTTGTCAACAGGAAAGTCCATACAATCAATGACACAACAATTGAAGGAAACAACCAATCACAGACCACATCGTCAACGCAAGCCACTAAATCACTCACGGAGAGATATTGACAGCTCATTTCATACCGAAGTTATTGGTGATGATGTCATCTATCAAGATGATGAAAGCTTCTCCAAGATTAAACAACTCAGCTCAGACTTGGTGGTTGGGGTCCGCAGGACAAGAGAAACTAGTGGTTGAAGACTCTAGAGGATATGGCTGAGAACCAATGTGAGTGGCGCAGATGTATTCCCACACACATTATCCTCATCTTAACACTTTATCGATTCTCACCAGTTTGTCATTCTTTCTTTCTTTCTTCTCGTATTTTATATTTCTTTTGGCTGAATTTTCTTATCTTTCCCCTCACTACCTTTCTACTTGATGTAGTGATATGAAGTGTGGCAACTTGGACCGTTACGCGGTAATGCCTGGTCCTATGTTGATATTAATGGTGATGATGATGCATAGAGTCTTATGTACTTGCTCCTTGTTTTTCCTGATGACCGACACTCAGAGAGCTTTGACTGAAGAGGATACTGATCATCTGATGAAATAACTCCTACCACATGTTACTCTTGAGTTAAGATATTTGTCCACAATTGTCTTAACTGGAAGAATTACAGGTACACCATAAGTTTTGATGACAATCTTCAAAGCTCTAGGTAGTATACTATAGTCCTTTTTCAGCAGCCCGGGAGAGAACAAAGAGGAACAACAGAGGAGAATAGGCAAGATGAAGAATTTAACAAAACACAACAGGAGAGGCTGAATAATATAGAAAGTTGGACGGAAAATTCTTCTAGAAACTAGTAAGATATAGGAGGACCAGGAATGGTTCGAAGAAAAACATACACCGAGATACATCACACTTGTAATATTCTCTAATGCACAACGATCAAACGATCGAACATGAGTCATGAAAACTAAGCAGTTTCCATAGGTTATGTTCACACCTAAAACTAAAGTTGTATACTGTGATATTTTCAAGAATTAAGCAGAAGACTATTAATGGAAGAGGACCATCGTCTAACAATAGATAGGAAATGCTTCAAATGGGACGGAATCAAATGACTAAGTATAGTCTGAAAAGGCATTACTGATATACTTGGCACTTTTATAAAGATTACTAGCATTATTGTAATACAGGAGAGTGGCGACAGGCACAGTACTTCTTTTCCTTTTGTATGAAAGTTGATTAGGGTCTCTGGAATCCTTCAATGAGGGTTCGAGCACAGATATTATTAGCTTTTCCCTTATTTTTAAGAACGGAGAAGTAACTGCAATCGGAAGGTACCTTGTACATGCACCTGGAGTCCATGACTTAGGTATGGGGATTATCTTAATATCTTTCCAATCAGCTGGTATGGTGTTTTCTAAAAGCGATTTATTGAACACGTCAACTAATGGATGACATACAATGTCAGCAGACTTCTTGAATACAAAGTGGGTACAACCCTATCCTTTTACTTTGTTATCTTCTCTAGAATGCTCAATCTATCATTGTATAAATAGTCAACTATTTGAGTAGTCTTGACAACTTCATGAACTTCGGTTAACCTAAATCTATATTACCTACTATCTCAATGGAAACATTCGTGTCGATTTGTGAGCGAAGACGTATATAATTCGATTCATACTTTAAACCTGTTTATTTGCTTTTAATTCTGTTACTACTAATAAGCATTTAAGTAGTATTACGTGTTTGATTTAATTATTACGCGCAGAAATCAAGAGACCTTGTCATGTATGCACCAAATTTGTACCATCAATGTAACACTAACTACTCTCAATTATTCGATGTAGAACCGAAAAATTGAAATTCACTCGTCAACTTTGTGCACATTCGTGAAGTGGGCAACGAATCATGACAGTCTGTAGTCATATCTATTAGCTGTAATTACATAAATAACATGTACTGGTGGAAGCAAGCATACTAGGAGACCTAGAAGGAGGGCTTCTTATAGGATCAGTACATTTGCCAGACTTATCTCAGACAGAAAACCTGAAGCTGGTGTGAAAGGAAGCGAAAAACATTACATCGGATAGAGCGGTTGCCCTGTTTGTGTCCGTCTGAAAAAACGTCAACTAGCAGTAAAGTATAGTAATGATGGGCAGTGGCTATCAGTGGAATCCAGGATGCGCATTTCGTCCTATTTGGGACTCACTGGTCAGCTGGATGTACCTGCTTTCCAGTGAGCGATGTTGTTCCGACTGGGATTCGGACTCGGGAGCGACTGCTTCAAACGCCAAAGCGTTATCCATTACACCACCGAGCTGCGATAGCCACTTCTTGTGCGACGGGTATAGCAGTGAAGTGTTATAACATATCTTCCCTCATATCAATGCATACGGACGATTCTAGACAGGAATTTGACCGGAAAAATGTGGAGAAATATTGAAATTGACCCAATCTGTCAACCAGTAACAAATAACAAAAGGATCAGATTTCAGATCATCAAGACAAACAATCAAAATAAACAAGGAGACGATGACAAAACATTGATGGAAACATACAACTGAATTTTAAGGGAGATGTGGGGATTTGGAAATATTTCAAGTTGTTATTCATCGTAGACTGATATCAATTGGAGTAACAAAAGAACCCTGGGAGTACTGGGCAGATGTTTCGTGCGACTAGTATGGGACTCTTCAGCAGTGCTCACCCACGACTCCGCACCACTAGGGATCGAACCCGTGACCTTCAGATTCCGTGGCCAGCACGTTACCATTGAGCTAGCCACTGGGTCAGAATCCAATCGTCCATATTTTCAACCTCTGTTACCTCACGATATAACGCAACTGCCAGTCAATGTCATCGTTGAGTAACTGTCCTCACGACCATCAGGCACAATCACGCACTAGGCCATCGGAACAAGCTACTAAATAAGTTGAAGAGAAAATCCTGTAGCTCACTACTTTCTGAAGTTTATACTGATGATGTTGCGTGTAGAGCCATAATGAAAGCTCCACGATTAAGCAATCCAGTCAAGAGAAAATAACCTTATCAAAAAGCTTTGAAAATTATCAAAATATGAAGAGAAAATTACATCTACTTCGATTTGTAGATGCTATTGCTAATAACTGCTGTCAGTTTGGTCTTTAGCTACTAGAACAAAACATTGTCAACCTATGCATTGACTGATTCGTGAAAGGCAATCAACTTCATGTTGTCTAGTTGTGAGTGTTACAAGACAAGGAATGAATCTCCACGGACACATGGAAGCTGGTAGAGAAGGGAGATGAAGATGGTGAAGCAGAAGATGAACCAATGCAAGGATGAACAACAAAAAGAAGAACTGAGTATGACCTATAAAACACCGGACAGAGAAGTGAAGAAGAGTGCGCGCAAAGACAAGAGACATTTCTGCGACACACTTGCGACCGAAGTATAACAAGCTACAGGTAGGAGAGACCTGACAACATTATATCAAATAACCAGGTTACTATTCGGGAAGAGATCAACACAACATGGATGGAAGCAATGAAAGATAGTGAAGGAAACCTAGTTATCAAGGAGTAGAAATAAAGAAAACGATGGACTGATCGCTTCCAAAAAACTCTTCAATCGATCACCACCACCACCTGCAACTCGTCCAGAAATACCACCAGCAACCGCAGAACTACCAGTGAACATAAGCCCTCCGACAAAAGCCGAAGTCCTGAAAGCCATAAAGCTACTGAAATCCCTGAAAGCAGCAGGACCAGATGAATATCACGTGCGGTAAATGATGAGTTGGGCGTCCAAAGATGACATGGAGGAGATCGTGTAAGGAAGAAATAAAAGCTTCTGAAAATTCGTGGAGATAGGTTGAAAAGACTTCAGAGAAGAGAGTGGAACGGTGACGTGCTACTGAAGCCCAATGTTCTACTCGGAACCCAAGGGACAAATAACAATAATAGTTGTGAGTGTTGACCGATTTCTATCGATCATTTTTCTCAATGTTGCTACCAAACTAGGATGCTTGGCATCGCGATGCATTTGGACAGATGTTAGTTGGTTAGAGGCAGTCGGCAGGAATCCCTGCTCCACCTAGATTCTTGGTTACTTGGTTACTTCACAGTGACTAATCAATGTAATCAACCCATTCTTCAATAGGAGTTCACTCACAACCCGAATAGCTCATTCGTAGTGTCATTGACATCAACACTGAATAATGCGAGTTCCAATCTCTGAAAGGATAACAGTTCCATCGAGGTTGTAGACACACTTTGCTGAAGAAACCTAGGTATAGCATGGCTTTAATAAAATCTTGAGAAGAAATGTTCTAGGTGGTAAACATGCCTGAAATGTACGCACTTGTGACTGAGTGGTTATGTGAAGTGTCACACACAAACAGGCACACACAAATATGCTTACTGTCTGCAGGTTACAGTCTGGAACCCACTGAATAACAAGAAAACATATTGAACTCCATACACTTGGCAGTAGTTTATTCATGTACGTAATAGTAGTAGAAGCCAAATCCAGTTTGGGGGTTTGTAGGGATTTATTGATTTCAAGTTAGAATTCATCATGGAATGACATCAGTCAGAGGAACATTAGAAAGCTGGAAGCATTGAATAGCTGTCTTGTCCCAGTGCGGGACTCCTCAGCAGTGGACACCCATGACCTCGCCTTCCAGGTATTGAACTCAGAACCTTCAGGTTCCATGGCCAGAACATTACCATTGAGCCACTGGGTGCTCTCAGATTTCCAATGTTCCTTCCACTAACGTCAGTCCATGATGAATACCATCTTGAAAATCCAAATCACTGAATGAGTATTCGATGAAGTCACTATGACCTGTCTCTCTAAATGTCATCACATTTATTGGAATTTTCTAAAGTTTTCGTCTATCTTTTATAAACACCTCCATTATGTACTTTTCTTGTGTTTTATGTGTAAATCCACATTGGATGCATTCAGTGAAGCGGTGCTATTTCTACACCAAGTTTTTGTTCAAGGCTTACGTAATAAAATGGAACATTGGCCAACTTTGCAATTGGGTGAGTGATATGCATGTCACATTGTTTTGCTGCTTTGTGTTAGTTGTTCTGTTGTCCGTAGCTTGCTTATTGCTCTCTGTTTGTCTGTCTGTTCGTTTGTCTGTATACCACACAACATATTTTACTCTAAGTTAGTATTCATCATGTACTGACAAGCTGGAGAACCATTGAAAGCTCGGCAGTAGTGGAGAGCTGTCCGGTAGTAGTGTGAGACTCCCCGGCTGGCGCACCCATGATACCACCAGTCAGGGGTTGAACCCAACACTCTCGGGTTTCATGACGAGCACGTTAACACTGAACCACTGGATCGGAGTTCAGTCCCTAAAGCAAGCTCTTATCGCATATCTATCTGAAAAGTGATAAATCACCACAGAAATCAAGGTTATGGTAGGACGTGAACCAACAGCATTCCGATCATCGATTCAACACTCTATGAGTTGAGCCACGAGATTCATCTTCTAAGCAGATCTTAAAATCACTTCAGTAATTGGGGGATATTACCTGACTGTCATAGGGCTGCTCAGTGCTTAGCTGTCCTCCCCGAATGTACCCACAAGCTTTTAACTGGTCTAATAACTGACGTCAGTTTGCGTTGAATACTGCCGAGATGGATTTCACGAAGCTTTATTGAGGCGTCGGTGCCTGTGGGGGTTAACCAGTTGGGGGTTAAACGGATACCAACTAAGGACCTCGGTAGATAGTCATGCGTTATCACGAATAGACACAAGTAGAAAACTGTGAACCAGTGAAACGTGACCCAGTGACTGAATGGTTAACGCGTTTGCTGCGTGACCTAAAGATCTTGATTTTGGTCTCTAGAAGGCGGAGTTGCGGGTGAGTAAGGCTAATGATTCACATACTACGATGAAACAGCTGACCAGTGCTCCCAGTCTCCCAATGATTTTCAGTGGTTCATTACAGATGTCAGAGCATCAGACAACTGTTTCACGCTGGCCTAATACTCCTCAGAAATAAACATCCTAAACTCTTGTTTGAGATAGAATCAAGGATCATTAGTTCCACGGGAAGTACGCTATCATTTAGCTGCTGAATCATGGGTGAGTACTGCAAAGGAGTGCCATACTGGGACGGAACAGCTATCCAGTGCTCTCAGGTCTCCAATCTTCCTCCAACTAATGTCAGCCCATAATTGATTCCAACTTGAAATCATTGATTCCTAAGATTTCTGTGAGAATTAGCGATCGATGGGGCAAATACTCAGCGTTGACATTTGGCGGTAGTTATACTATGTCATGAACTGACAGAAGTTGGAAAGAAGGATTATTGGATTCTGACCAGTAGGTCAATGGTAAAGTGCTGGCCACCGAACCTGAATGTCCTGGGCTCCACCCTTAGAGGACAGGGTGATGGGTGCCCCATACTATGACGAAGCACAGCTGCGCAGTGCTCCCAGGTTTCCAATGTTTCTCCAACTGATTTCACTATTTGATGAATACCAGCGTGAAAGACAATTTAAGTAGTTTCAAAGTAGTGAAATTGGGAAATGTAGTTAGCGCAGTCATACTCTATTCGGTAATTCCTTGTTAGGCTTAGCAATGAGATACAAAAATTGGTCAACACATATATCAAATACCATTTTAATGGATAGATTACACTATTATTATTATTATTAGTCCCTTGGGTTCCTAGTGGAACATAGGGCTTCAGTAGCACGCCTCCAGTGACCTCTGTTCTCTGAGATCTTTTGAACCTGGTTCCACGACAGCCCAGAAGCTCTCATTTCCTCCTCGCACGACCTCCTCCATGTCACCCTCGGACGTCCAACTCGTCGCTTCCCATGGGGATTCCACTCGAGGGCCTGACGCGTGATGTCCTCAGTCGGCCTTCTCAGTGTATGCCCAATCCATCTCCACTTCTTCCTGCATATTTGTTGCGTGATAGGTTCTTGGTTGGTTCGTTCCCAGAGTTCCTTGTTGCTTATTTTTTCTGGCCATCTGATCTTCAGCAGCGAGCGTAAGCAGTTGTTGATGAATGTCTGTAGTTTATTGGAAATGCCTTTCGTGACGCGCCAAGTCTCTGAGCCATACAAGAGCACTGACTTGACGTTGGTGTTGAAAATCCGTATCTTGTTCCGCATGCTGAGTGCAGAAGATCTCCACACTGGTTTCAGGCTAATGAACGCCTGTCTTGCTTTTCCGATTCTGACTTTGACGTCCTCGTCCGTCCCGCCTGTAGTTGAAACAGTGCTTCCTAGATAAGTGAAGGAGGTTACTTCCTTCAAGTTTCTCCCGTTGACGGTGATTGGAGTTTGTTGTTGTTGTTGTTGATGGTGGTGGTGCGGTATCTTCATCACTTCTGTCTTCTCTATATTCACCTGAAGTCCCGTCTTAGCTGCCTCCTCTGTCAACTTGTTAGTTTTTGCCTGCAGATCTTCAAGTTTATGTGACATTAGGCATAAGTCATCGGCGAAATCCAAGTCTTCTAGGTTCTTTTCCGTCGTCCAGTGTATCCCCCTCTTCTCGCTGCCTACTGTTTGCTGCATGATCCAGTCCACCACAATTAGGAATATCATGGGGGATAGTAGGCAACCTTGTTTCACTCCTGTCTTCACTTCAAAGGCATCACTGAGCTTCCCATTGTGGATTACTTGGCATGTGGCATCTTCATATAGTTGTTGAATGAGGCGGATAAAGGTTTGCGGTACTCCGTAGTATTGAAGCAGTTTCCAAATTACTTCTCGGTCGACGCTGTCAAAGGCCTTCTCAAAGTCGATGAAGTTGAGGTATAGAGCTGATTGCCATTCTACGCTCTGTTCTATGATGATACGAAGCGTTGCAATTTGGTCAGCACATGATTTGTACTTCCTGAAGCCTGCCTGTTCCGGTCGCAGTTTTGAATCCAGTGCGTCTTTAAGCCTCTCCAGGATGATGCGGCTTAATATTTTACTTGGGGTGGATAGGAGAGTGATTCCGCGCCAGTTCTTGCAAGCACTGAGGTCTCCCTTCTTCGGCAGTTTGACAAGGTAACCCTTCTTCCAATCGTCAGGTACCTTCTCTTCCCTCCACACCTTCTGCAATAGTGGTGTGAGCATGTCCGCTGTTGTCTCTGCATCTGTTCTCAGTGCTTCTGGCGGTATTCCATCTGGTCCTGCTGCTTTCCCGCATTTCAGTAGCTTTATGGCGTTCAGGACTTCCATTTTCGTTGGGGGATTTATGTTCACTTGTAATTCAGCGGCTGCAGGTGGTATTTCTGGACGAAGTGCAGGTGGTGGTCGATTCAAGAGCTTCTTGAAGTGGTCGGCCCATCGTTTCCTCTGTTTCTCTTCTTTTGTAATTAAATTTCCTTCTTCATCTTTTATTGGTTTCATCTGTGTTGGTCTCTTCCCTGATAGCAACCTGGTTATTTGATACAATGTCGTCAGGTCTCTCTTACCTGCAGCCTGTTCTGCTTCACTTGCCAGTGTGTCGTAGAAGTGTCGTTTGTCTTTGCGTGCACTCTTCTTCACTTCTTTATCCAGTGTTTTATACATTGTGCTCAGTTCCTCTTGTCGTTGAGCATCCTTGCACTGGTTTATCTTCTGCTTCACCATCCTCCTCTCCTCTATCAGCTTCCAGGTATCCGTCGAGATCCATTCCTTGTCTTCTTTCTTCTTCCTTCCTAATACTGTTGTGCAGGTTTCTTTCCACATAGCTTTCAAAGACTTCCAGTGTTCTTCTACACAGGTTTCTTCAGGGATGTCCCTCGACGTCTCCCATTTTGTCTTGATGGCTGCTTTGAAGATCTCCTTTGTAGTTTCATCCTTCAGTTTCCGAGTGTTGTACTTGAATTGAGGTCTATCACCAGCTTCCTTGAAGGCTTTTAACTTGATTTCGAAGGTTCCTTGCACTAGATAGTGGTCTGAACCTACATCTGCTCCTCTTCTTGACCTTGTGTTAAGTAGACTGCGTCTCCATTTTCTTGAGATTGAGATAAAGTCGATTTGGTTTTTAGTGTGTCCATCTGGTGAAATCCATGTCGCTTTGTGGATATCCTTGTGCCTGAACACACTGCCTCCAATCACCAAATCGTTGAATGCACAGAATTCTGCAAACAATTCTCCATTCTCATTCATTTCACCTAGCGCCTCTCGACCCATGGTTAGTTCTCTTCCCGTGTTGTCCCCTCCCAGTTTGGCATTCATGTCGCCCATTAGAATTTTGATATCGCCAACTGACGTCTTGTCCAGTGTTGACTGAAGTTGTCTGTAGAATTCCTCCTTTTTCTCTTGCTCTGCATTATTTGTAGGTGCATAACATTGTATGATTGTGACCTTTCTTCCTTTTGAGTTGAATCTTGCTGTCATGATCCTGGAGGAGATTGGTTCCCACTGCATGAGAGCCTTCGATGCTCTTGAGGACATCATGATAGCCACTCCCTCAGTGTGCTCGTGGTTGGCGTCTGGGTGACCGGAGTAGATTATTGATTCTCCCGTTGACAGTTTGGAGAGTCCACTCCCATTCCATCTGCTTTCGCAAATCCCAAGCACTTCGATGTTATACCTTCTCATCTCCTTTGCAATCTGGGCTGCCTTACTGGGTTCAAACATCGTGCGGACATTCCATGTCCCCACGTTTACTTTCGCTTTCATCGAGAGAAGACACATCGGCCAATTGGCTTCCCGAAGGCTTTCACCAACTGGCGTCATTTCGCCTCTCCGATTCCAGCGGGGAATAAGTTTGTTTTCATTTTTTATATTTTGTTTGTGCTTTGAAGTTTCTTTAGCGGTTAGATTTGTTTTACGGGGTAGGGTTGCTAGCCCTATGCCCAACCTTCCCTCTTTACCCGGGCTTAGGACCGGCTAGTAACTAGTAAACTAGTTAACCAGGCGAGGTTAAAATGAACAGCAAAGTCACATAATCTCAGTAGTTAAGTAGAATACAATGACTCCATATACCTACTGTCGTCTTCTTGAACATTATCGTACATGGTAAGATCCATCAAAAGTGCTATACCTGCCCATCTAATGAATGATGAGCATACGGTTGATGAAACACCAACCT